TTGATGTATCTAAGAAAGAAACGCTAAGCTAAGCAAACCAATCGCAAATTTAGATGCTAGGGTATTTTGTAGCAGAGCACTGTGTACTGTAGCCTTTCAATTTGTTTTTGTGCGCTGATTTTTGCCATATTCTAAAGGCAACGGGTGGCAATTTGGCATCTTTTATCATTTATTTGTACATGAAGATACTTCCATGGCTTCCCTTTTGCGTATTTTGCTGCGCTTCATGTTAATACCCTATACCCAAGACAAGGGCCAGAAATGGTATATTAATGTGTGCGAGACTTAAGTGTGCCAATCATGAATGAAAAAGAAGAGCTTGGAATAATCTAGTTGAAAAGAAATTGAATGACTGCAGAATATTTAAAGGTTGCTACAGGGTAGCTCTTAGTCAAACATGCTCGATTGTTCCTTCCTTCGCTTCTTTCAATTTTTCGAGAGTTATATTTATTTAGCTTGTTGCTTTCAGCCAAAGCCTTTGAGTAGTTTATTGCGCGATGCGGCACTTGTGGCTGTCGCATCAATTTAAGCGATTTGCCAAATTTGCTTGAAGGCAGTGAGATTCGAGATGACGTCAAGCAATTGGGCACAATACAATTTGTCTGCGGCTTGGATACAATTTGAATTTTCAGCCCTCGCAAATGGGATTGTAATTTAAGTCTATTAAATTGACTGAATTCGGAAATTTCTGTTTTTCTATTATACTTTCTCTAAGCAGAGTACGTCAAGCTTTGATTATATTTATCAAGGCAGTAAACTTTTAACTTGGCCAGCTGCGGACCATCCCAACTGATGCAAATATCATGCTGCGTGATCCTAACTAATGGTGTTATATAATTTTCTATGCTGATTGTTGGCTGCGAAATGTTTTAGTTTCTTCAAACTATCGTCCAAAAGCTGTCAAATAATTAAAAACTAAATTTAAACATATAAATTAGAGCAGCATTAACCAAATGTTCACTTGGTTTAGGGTATCTGCTTGATGAGAAACTCAGGTGTATATTGTTTAATTTTGCTGACCTGGCCAAGGTCTTCTGCTTTAATATGGCACACTTGATGGGGCTGTGGCGCTGAGACGCTGAGGGACCGAATGGCTTGGACTGCTTGCCGTTTATACTTGGTGAATGCCCTTTTCAATATAGACTTATGTATATTTGCCATTAACAGACGCTTACATGGGGCCAACTTCAGCTGGCAGACGGATGAGAAGGGAGTTAAGTTGGGGTTGGCACGGCTAGGGTCAGGTTGGTTCGTGTGCTAACCCAGGGCAGGACCTACATTATGTATGTAGAGCTGATGCTGCGTAACGATAACAAACAATTCCTTGGCCACCCACGTGCAACTTCATTGAACAGGAAACTCGTAAAACGGTAAAACCCAAAAAACGTACGCCAACAACAACAACAACGCACCCACACACGCACACACAAAGATTGATATATATATACAAACAGATACAAATACTAGGCAATGCGTACTTAAAGATACAATTTGGTAGGAGCGGCGTTTGAATTGGGATTAGGATTAAGCACGCTTAAGGCGAGAGTCGTGCGTATGCGCCGCAAGCAGCTCAGATACCGTCAATTCGTTGGCCTGGCATTCACTTGAAAGTTTTCTAATATGGTAGGCCATTTTGCTGGCCAAAAGGCAGCCCGTTGCCAGACCGGATGTTTGTTTTGGAAGCAAGCGCATTTTGCATTTCGCGTTTTTTTCCACCTGAAGCATTCATTCTTACCTACCAACATTACCGTCCCGTCCACTCCCACCAGACCCACTCAATGGTTGCAATATAAATGTTGGCGCCAGAGTTTGCCATATTATTATTTGTACTTCTTTGGTACTTGTTTTTTTTTCTTTTTGCAGTGGGTTTCGAGCACTCAGTGCATTTCGGATGGGTTGTGTCCTTCGCAGCGTTCGTTTTCGCGCAGGCCTGACCCAATGACTCCGTTTTTATATTTGTGGCATGGCACAGACTCCATGGCGCTGGCTGCTGCTCCAGTTTTTTGGCAAGTATTTGGCAATGTGTCGCCGTAATGATGAGGTTGACTAACTCGTAAAGTGCTCTCGTCCTGCCCGCTGCACGCTGCACTCTGCCTGCCTGCCCGCTGCTTGTGCATATTTTCATCATCTTCGAATGGCAATTGGAGCGACTGTTTTTGGCTGCGCCACTGCGAATGCTCTTATTGCAGCAAGTTCAAAGTGTCGGTTCATGACAGGGCACAATCGTTAGATAAAGACAGACAGAGTGTAAGAGGGAGAGAGTTAAAGAAAGAGACAGAGACAGATAGAGAGAGAGAGAGAAAGCGAGAGAGAGAGATGGATGAAGAGAGAGATGAAACATTCATCTACACATGCACAAACGTAGGTCAATTGCAGTGTGTCCCCTGCGAAAAGCTAAACGTAAACTTATTCAGCACCAGCTTCGACAAAGCTTTTGCATTAGCTTAAAGCTAAACAGGGTGCGAGACATGGCTTAAAGCTGAGCTACAGTTATTTAAATGCTTACATCAATTAGATATTGAGAAGAATGCGTATTGGAGCTTTTAAGACTTAAGTCTTATTTACATTTCTGTTTCCACAATAAAAGGCCTTGCTAGCGCTTATTGAACCCAAACATTATGCTGAATTTCTTTTTTAAAGTACACCAATTCTTTAGTTTCAGAAATTGTTTAATTTTCATCTTTGCAATCGCATGCTGCCTTGCCCCACCTTTCACAAGTAACGCGACGAATATATAAATATATATTTTTTAAGTAATTAATTTTATTTAAGCAATTCGATATTTTTTTTTGAAAACTAACGCAGCTTAAAAAAAATTGTCGCCGGTGTTTGCTGGAGACTGCTTAAGAATATTTCAGACATCTCATTATTGTTATTGTTATTGGTGTTGACTCACATTCATTTATTATTATAAAATTATTATTTTTGATTTTATCTTCGTAAATAACTTCAAATTATATACAACAAATAGCAACTGACTAGAATTGGACCATATCTTATATAGCTGCTTATTTCTTGAAGTTTTCCATACAAAGTGAAGACTTTTTTCCATCAAATAGAAACTTAACTACAAATTTAGCTTCGTATGTGCGTCGTTTGACATTTACTCATTCAGTTAGTCAAGAAACATATATTATTCTTAGGGATAATATATAAGATTCGAGTGCAGCAGGGTGCATAGTATTGATATTAATTACACAGCATTATATGATAGGGCATTTCTTTGACTTCATCACTGCAAGAAAGTGGAAGTTATATACACACACTTTGACGCCCACAATGGCCTGGGCTTAACTGCAACTGCAGTTGGAAATGCAACAGCCACCGCTTACATAATGGCTGGCGCACTTCGATATACAAATACTGGGTAGTTGAAGTCCTACTCATATGCAAGTGCCGCTTCAGTTGAACGAAAATAAACACGGACTCTGCAAAATACAGATTCATGGCATAAACGAGGCGTCGGTTGCAGCTGCCTATTAGCCAAGCTCTGTCTAACTGGCGGCATCAAGTTGAAGATGAAGTAATAAAGTCGACGCTTAGTGAGCTAACCCAGAGCCAGAGTTGATAACGCAGACGCTGAAGACCTCAACCGACCTGAGCGGGAGCGCTTGAACCCGAGCCCAAGTTGGGGGCCCTTGCGGAAGCAAAATTCAGCGAAAACTGGCGGCTTTGTCATTGCAGCTGCTGCGGCTTTTAACTTTCAGCTTTTGGCTTTTGGCTTTCAATGTTCGCCGTGTCAGTTTCAGGCAGACGATGCTACATTGCAGCACAGTGGGTGCCATGTGGCAGGCAGTGGCTACATGACTCCAATGATTCCAGCTGCTTAAACATTTTTGCACATGCTTGCCAAGTTGCAAGCTGATGACATGGCAACCCGATGCCGCAATGCGAGTTGTTTGCGGTAAAGTTGCAAGGTGTGAGGCAAGCTGAGCTGCCAGTTGGCAGTGGCTAGTAGCTCTGCCTCTATCCCGGTGGCAAGCATATGATGCACCATCAACATGCTAATCCATAAAACTGCTCTGAACTTCTGTCTGGCTGTGGTTAACTGTCGCCTAGCAGTCGCCACTGGCCGCTTGCCGCTTGCCAATTACCGCTCACCCCCTCAAATTCAAGCGCCAAGCAAATTAATGATGCAAATTGTGCATAAGAAATTACCCAAAACCAAATCGGACAGTCATAAAAACATTGAAGCCGGCGGCTTAAAGCGCCGATAGCAGATGCCGATTCGTCTAGACAAGTTGCAGGCAATGTTTGAGCCACGTTTTCAGGCTTAGTCAGCGATTGGAACTGGGTTTGCAATTCGGATTCGGATTGGGATTGGGATTGATACTGCAAACACATTGCAGGTTCGCATGTGCGCAAATACTTCGGCTTACTTGCACAGTGGGTAGGCGAATGAAAACTTGAATTGTGGACAGTTATATAGTATTATGATGGTCGAAGCAATATTTTTACAGTTATAACATAAGCGAAATATGGTTAAAGCCATATGAACAGCAGGCTATGCAACTGCAGTATTTAGCGGATATATTAAATATATATAAAATTAAGCGAAACCCTGGTTATTAAATAGTTTATTTATTTTGTTTATGTAATTATTAAACATTTTAAAAATATGATAAGAATGTTAAGTATAATAATAATAAGTATAAGTATAATAATAATAATAAAAATAATAATAATAATAATAATAATTTAAAGAAAAAAATAATAAAAACAATAATAATAGTAAAAATGATAATAATCATATTGAGAGCAATATTGATGATGATAATGATACTAATAAAATAATATTTATGAATAGCTCTTTTGAACGTATGAAAAAGAGGTTTAAATCCATCAATTAGTAAGAGAAGTTTGTAATAATGTACTATAATTAATTTTAATTTAAAAAGCTTAAGTTCGTGTTAGGTGAGTGTATCTTATATAATTTTCCCCCAAAAATATGTAATTTCAATATAATTATTTTCATTTTCAACATTAATTATTGCTCACAATTAAAGTGATTTTGGTGCCACTGTGCGGCGTCAGCAGCTGTTCGGTAATTGCAAATTGGTAATTGAATAAATAATTTTTCGCCATTGTGAGCAAATTTGCATGTTCAATATTTCATATTGTACAAGTGCCTCGGCCCAGCTAACAGGTTCTTAATTTATTTTTATACTCTTTCCTTGGACAATATAAAATTGCGGCACAGCTTACATAAAGTATTACCCGGCTTTGTCCGAGCCAAAATTCTTTCCTGTCATGACATGACAGACATGACTTCCAGCCCTTTGCCAATCGTGAACATTTAATAACATTTCTAGCCCACAGCCACAAGTCGATTGTTTTGCAATCGATAACAAACAAACGTTTTCCACCAATTTTCCATACTCGAGGGTGGACTTGGCAAGTGTACTTGTTCGTCGGCATCTGACAAATAGCAGCTGTTCTTTCATGTTAGTTATTTCTTTAGCATATGATTTTTAATTATTTTCATGTTGTTTTTCAGGGGTTTTTGTTTTGGTCTACGGCAAGGGTCTTTAACGCCAACGACTTTTAATTGCTTTGGCAGCCATTCACTTTTGCTAGTGCCCAGTACCGTCGTGTTTGATGTCACTTGCGTTGCAGTGGCTGCCGGTTTTTTTTTTGTGTTTTTTGTTATTGCTGCTGCTGGAGGATCCTTTTGCAATCGTGCTTTAAGTTTGATTGCCCAAGAATGTGTCTGCCTGCGGCAGTGTCCGCTCTAGACACCAGACAAGTTAACTCCTTAGCTCACAGCTTAATTAATTGGCGTTTCGTGTTTGGTCATTTGCTGGTTTCGGCTGCCAATTGCTTCATTTACATTTGCTTGCCACACTATGTGAGTTATCAGTTTGACAAGCAGCTAAATTGCACTTCTACATGCAGTTAGATGCGCCGACAAGCGTCTACGACAAGTTGCATAGTTGCTGGCAGACACTGGATGCCAAGCAGACAGTCGAATCGCCTGCTCAAAGTCAACAATTGTGAGCCTCTTGTTTATTAAACAGAATCAATTAGAATGTATGCACAAGTTGAGCTATGCAAATAGGTAAAGCTTAAATAAGTAATTATCTCGATGATTGCTACTAAGTAATTTAAATTTTGGAATCCTTATTATAAAAGATTACCGTATTTATTTAAAAAAAAGTTTGAATTCGTATTGCTTTTTTACTATGACTGGAAAGCAGACCGTCGGCAAGGAAGAATTTTGCATTACTTTGCGAATATCATAAATATTTAATACACCCACTTAAAAATACTTTTAAAAATATCATATTACGTAAATGTCAAATTTGCTGAGATTTGCCCAAAACTGGATTCCGATGTCGATACTTATCGATTGCTTGAAAACGGGGCAAGTTTCCGGTTATCGGCAAAAAAAGCGTACTGCGCGGGCACTACGGTAGGCCTACGTTCAACATATCGAGTCTCTAACTCTTCGAGGCTTTGACATCGAGGCGTCCGTCCTCACGGGCAGACAGATAGACGCACGGACAGACAGCCGAACATGGCTGGAGCGACTCAACTTTTGCTGATCAAGAATTTATATAGTATATAGGGTCAGAGATGCTTCCCTCTGTCTATATTATACCCTCTTACACATTTTTAATATGTAAAAATAAAAGTTCCTTATAAAAATGAGAAGGGGCTCAATTGCCAAATAGCATTTTCAAAAATATTACATTTGGGAAGAACACATAAAAATATAATAAAATGTATCATACCTTTTCGTTGTAATCGTAAATTCCAAATATTAAAGTGGTCAACAAAATTTTGATTGTTGTACATTTCGATGGATCAAAGTAGCCGGGCAGATAGCTGTAATTATTCGGGATAGTCTTCTTAATGGCATTCCTCATAATTTCAGAATCAGAACTGGTTGTACATGTGTACAAACAAAAACAAAAATCTCGGAAAAATTTTGGAAAAAAAATTTTCACGGAAAAAAATTTACAACGGAAAAAAAAATTTGGTTTGGCTTCCAGTTTAATATAACCCAAAAATAAAATATTGGAATAGTACGTTGCATTTGCGTGGAGTTCAACCAGTTTCAGGTAAGTTAAACAATAGTAGCAAAACCACGATTCCTAATTGTGAGTACACAATGGGTGCTAAGCTCCCAATAGAAGACTGTTGCCGGACAATATGAGAAGGAGGATATCGTTGCAGGCTACGTTCTAGATAGAGATTGTTTGCTAACCTTGCAGGATGGGCAAGGGAAAGGGTAAGGGAAAAGGTAAAAAGGGAAAGAAGGGAAAGAAGGGAAAGAAGAAGGCGACTATTGTTGCGCCAGCTGCCGCTATTGTTCAAGAATGTCCACCATGTCCTGAGCCACCAAAACAGATACAGCCATTGGATCCATGTCCCGAGTCCACCGGCCCGCATGATGTGCTCCGTGCACAGCCCAATCATTACCCGGCTTTGCTGCGCATTCCGGAAACAATGGCCGTTGTTGGCTCCGAGAATGGATGTTACGATAGCATCTGTAAGCTACTGCGCGCCGGATTTCGCTGTGCGGAACGTGTCTTTGTGATGGCGCCATGGGGCAATTATGTGGTATTCCGGTTCCACAATAACAATGACTTCATCTACTTCCTTTATGATGGATGCACCTGCGATGTGAACCGATTCCGTTATCTGGACCTTAGCTGCGGCACTGCCGGCTTCCTTTTCTTCAACAACATGCATGACGTCATCAGCTATATCATACAATCGCGCAAAACGCGTCTGTACTTGGAGAATCTCAACAAAATAGCCATTGATCAAATAGTCGAAGAGTACGGCGCCGTTACATACACTCAGAAGGCGAAATGTATGCGCTTCTCGTAGAATACACGGCAGAAGAAGACAAACTTAACGACTACTAACTATACTCATGCATTTGCCAACGGTCTTGATATTTTGGCACCTCCCGGAATCCGGCACAATCTCGGCTAACCAGATCAACGCTCTATTCTAAATCAAAAAAATTAAAGATTTATTTTGAACCAACTCAAAATTTTGATACGTTTTCTTATATCCATGTTGAGGGTATCTTAAGGAGGAGGGTAAGTCAGCGAGCCCACAAAAGGTAGTCGGAGAGAACTAAATCATATAGTCATCGTAATGATTCGATTCCAAGTTAATATTTTCATCATGCTCCTTAGCTGCTTATTAGCTCTATATTAAAGAATAAAGGGCAAGACATTAGTTCATGGAATGAACAGCTAGGCCGATCGGTAATTCTCGTATTTTATATATTGAATTTTTTTTTCGAGCTGACTGCATTTAAAGAATTCTTCGAATATTTGAGCTTTGGGAATTACATATTCATGTGCTTATGAAGGAGAGCCACATACATTGATCGAGGGTTCTTCTTCGGTATTTGAATTTGTATTCATCCCAAGCTCAAGTACGCACATATATTTTGATATGTGTTTACATTTAATCAAATAAGTATGTACACAGTCGCCTAACCTTGCTACCCGCTCATTTGTGGGCCCGGGGCGTTGGCAGAGGCGGAGTTGGAGGCGAAGGCAATGGCAACGGCAACGGCAACTGCCTCGCTTGCTTGGCATGTTTATGAGAATGTTTGGCTTTATGAAGTAACTACACGAATAGCAAATGCGAGCTCATTTGTGCTAATAAAGAAGCCAAAACAAACGGCAGTCATAAGACAAATACACTTATTGCAAGTGTATTAAGCATTTGGAGCAGCAGCAATTCAATGCCTCAATGTCTTCCACCATACACATGCTATAGAGATGAAATCGAATGCTCAAGTGGGCCAGCGGTGGCGGCGCATTGAAGCAACATGGCTCAAGAAAGATCTTGACTGCGAATACGTACTGAGCGAACCAATTGATTTTTCTACCGAGCTCGTTAATTAAAACAACAATCACTGCAATGTGGACGGGGGCTCTCTTGACTGCCAGGAGGGCAGATTGCCGCAGTGGCTGCCACAGTCGCAGCCGCAGTCAAAGCCACATTCAACACTCGAGCGAGTTAATCGCGTTGTCAAGTGCTGCACTTGAGCGCCGTATACCCAAAAGCCGAAAGACATTGCATGTAATTGAGAAGAACTTGATTCGTTTTTGGATCAGCTGTCCGAGCAGGCGCATCACTGTGTAAATTGATACCCTGCCAATTGCCGTGGGCGAGACACATTTTCAAATGCAGTTCTACGTTTTTTCGCCAACTGCGTAGGCGTTCGATCTCCGTTGCCGAGTTCTTGTTGCCCGTAAACTGCATAATTAAGTTGCCAGCGTTAGCAGCTCTCATGTTTATGTCCATCATTCGCTCGTTAAATGTATGCAAATGCTGCATTTAATTCAAATTCAAATACAAATTTCGTACTTGAAGAATTATTCATGGTTTTTCAGTAGTCGGCACTTGATTTAAATGTGATATGTGCACAAATGAATTGATTATAAAGTATCTTGTTAGTTTTTTTTTAGGTCTTTTGTTAAGTCAAGCAACTTGATTATTGATTATGCGAATTGTCAGTTGTGAACTGCTATACCATTTACCAAAAACTTAGCAGTTCTTACATGTTAACCTGCCTTTGTCTGTCTGCCTTTTAAGTAATTGTCTTCTATCTTAGCATTACTTTTAATGTCAGATTATTGTTTTTCAAAAGAGTCAGTGTGAGAGTATGATTTGATTGCCAACAAAACTGATTAAATGGACGTACTTGAATTTATGAGAACCTTCTAAAAGGGGGCCGGTTTTATTTCTTAAACCCTGAATTCGGGTCTCTACTGTATACAATTTATTATATCGTGCGCTCAGATTTTGAATTTCGCCTAACCTAATTATTCTGTAATAAAAGCTTGTATCTTCCTCTCCAATCACCGTCTTTTATCCAACTCACGTAACTTTTAATTGCTGCGTGGCCTGTCTTTGCATTGTTTTTAACATCAGATTTTTGTCGCTGACGCTGTCGCTGTCGTTGTTGTGTCTTTGTGTATTTTGCGCACTTCTCAGTTGCCAGCATTAATTGGCAATTGACACAGAAAATCATTGACAAAACGGAAGTTCATTAGGCTTTGTTTTGACTCACGACGCGAGTCTGTGAATCTGTGATGTAACTGGCTAAACATTTATATAATGGCAGGCCGTGCCCCTGTGCCCTCAACTCATTCTGTTTCATTCTTTTGAGCATAACAATGGCGCATCGATAAAAATGGCAAATATTTACGAAAAACTTGATGTAGTTTCAAAATGCAAACAAAGTCGGTCAGAAACGGTCAGTAAATCGCGATAAGCGATCCACAACAACAACAATAATAGTTGATACATAAATATGAAGAGCAGCGCTGAGGCATGCAACATGCAGCTGCTATTGTTGCTACTGACTGACTGACTGACTGACTGACTGACTGACTGACTGACTGGGCCAGCTAGCCGCACCTCTTGATCTGCCCTGCTGCCGCTCGACAATGCTTAACTCGCTCAAAGCTCGAAACTCAGTGATTTGCAATTGTTTGCTTAGGCATTTTGACCGTTAACCGTGTCGCTTGTTATGCAAATGAATGCAGCGACTTGGCTCTTGCCTCACCTTTGCCCACGCCGGCCCATCAGCGTTCACGTCAATGTCCTTGACATGCGCCGCTTCAGTTCAGTTTCAGTTTCATTTTGAAGTTGAGGCTGAAGTTGCCGCAACTTTTGTGACAACCTGCGTTGGTGTTTGAATACAGTTAATCGGTTCGTTTGTCGAGAGTCTGTTATAAGGGGTTGTCTTTTGGTATGTGTGGCAGGCGGGTTAAATAATAAATGAATGCGCCGAAAAAGAATTCTTAGCAGCCAGCTTGTTGCCTAAGTCTTTCGTTTATTATTGCGTTCACGTTTGCCGTTCGGCGTTGGCGTCGCGCATAATTTGTCCGCAGCTTTGGCTTAGATTTCGTTTCCTACTCGCGCCAGCCCAGAGCCATGGCAAATTGCTTCCTTATTTGAATGTACATTGTACCTAACCCCAGCTTTTTTTCTGTTTTTCGTTTTTTTTTTTGTGCGCCCAGCCAAGCAAACAACCAACTAAGTACACACATACATCGAGAGATATGCGGGTTTCTTATGGCATAAAGAAGTACTAATGCTAAACTGATCTCTAAGCCGCATAGTGGTACGAAAGTGTAGAAGACGAAATAAAATACTCAATGTTTATTTCTCATTGCAGTGTATATCAATTCAAATGACCAGGTAAAACATAAGCTATTGAAATTGCGAGATTTATAGACGCCCAGTGGTCAGTTCTAAGGCATCTTGCTGCATGTGACCTTTCAGACAAGGCTTATGAACCATCGATAATTAGAATCATTCAGATGGCTTGA